TCATGGCTATTTTGATCAGTTCATGGCTCTTGATCAGTTATGCTATTTGATCAGTCATGTGCTTGTTGATCAGTCCAATGGCTATTTTGATCAGTCCATTGCTCATTTGATAGTCATGGTATTTGACAGCTATTGCTTCGAAATCAGTCATGGCTATTGATCAGTCATGCATTGATGCAGTCATGGCTATCTTATTGCATCAATCATTGCCTATTCGATCAGTCATGGCCTATTTTGATCAGTCATGCATTTCGATCAGTTATGGCTATTTGATCAGTTTGCCATTGACGTCATTATTTGATCAGTCTTTGGCATTCGATAGTCCATGGCTATTGATCAGTGCATGCCATTTCAACAGTCATGGCTATTTTATCAGTCCATTGCATGATCGTCTGGTATTTGATCAGTTATGGCATTCGATCAGTCACATGGGTATTTGATCAGTATTGCATTGATCAGTTATGGATAATTTGATATCTGCCTTCAAGTCATGGCTATTTGATTCAGTCATGTCCATTTGATCAGTTCATGGCTTATCTTGATCAGTTCCATTGGCTTGATCCGTATCATATTGATCACATGGCTATTTGACTCAGTCTTGGCTATTCGATCCAGTCATGGCTATTTGATCAGTCATGGCTATTTCGATCAGTTAGGCTATTTGTCAGTCATTGCCTATGTCATCAGTTCATGGCTATTCGATCAGTCATGGCTCATTCGATCAGTTATTGGCTAATTTATCAGATGCAGTCAGTTGGCATTTCGATCAGTCATGCTATTTGATCATTCATGCATTGATCAGTATGGCTATTTTGATCAGTCCATGTGCCATTTCGATCAGTTTGCTATTTGACAGCATGCCTTCCGATCAGTCATGGCTATTTGATCAGTTATGGCCATTGTCAGATCAGGTCTGAGTCTATTGATCATGGTATCATTGATAGTCATGGCTATTTGATCCAGTCATGCATTTGATCAGTCATGGCTATTGGATCGTCATTGCTGATCAGTCATGGCTATTTGATCAGTTCATTGCCATGTTCGATTTCAGTCATGGCTATTTGATCAGTTAGGCTTATCTTTGATCAGTCATGGCTATTCGATACGTACATGGCTATTTTAGATCAGGTCATGGCTATTGATCAGTTATGGCTATTTGATCATTCCATGGCTATTTGATCAGTTATGGCTATTTGATCAAGTCATGAGCTATTTGATCAGTCATGGCTATGTTGATCAGATTATGGCTATTTGATCAGTCATTGCTATTCGATCAGTCATGGCTTATTTGATCAGTCATGGCTATTTTGATCAGCTATGGCTATTGATCAGTCATGGCTATTTGATCAGTCATGGCTATTTGATTCAGTCATGGCCTATTTGATCAGTCATTGCCATTCGATCAGTCATGTCTAATTTGATCAGTCATGGCTATTTGATCAGTCATGGCTATTTTGATCAGTTATGCTATTGATCATCTGGCTATTTGATCAGTCATGGCTATTTGATCATTCATGGCTATTTGATTCAGTATGCTATTTGAATCAGATGTATGGCTATTTTGATCAGTTATGGCATTTGATCATGGCTATTTGATCAGTCATTGCCATTCGATCAGTTCATGCTATTGATCATTATGCTTCGATCAGTTGATCAGGTCATGGCTATTTGATCAGTTTGGCTATTCGATCAGGTCATGGCTATTTGATCAGTTCATGGTCTATTGATCAGTTATGCTATTTGATCAGTCATTGGCTATTTGATCAGTTATGGCTATTGATCAGTCATGGCTATTCGATCAGTCATGGGCTATTTGATCAGTCATGGGCATTTGATCAGTTATTGGCTATTTGATCAGTCATGGCTATTTTGATCAGTTATGCTATTTTTGATCATCATGGCTAATTTTGATCAGTTATGGCTATTTCATTCAGTCACTGCTATTTGATCAGTCATGGCCTTTTTGATCAGTTTATTGCTATTCGATCAGTCATTCCTATTTGATCAGTTTTATTGGCTATTTGATCAGTCATGGCTATTTGATCAGTCATGGCTATTTGATCAGTCATGGCTATTTGATCAGTTATGCTATTGATCAGTTCATGGCTTATTTGATCAGTTATGGCTATTTTGATCAGTCATGGGCTATTTGATCAGATTATGGCTATTCGATCAGCATGGCTAATCGATTGATCAGTCATTGCTATTTGATTCAGTTATGGCATATTTGATCAGTCATGGCTATTTGATCAGTTATGGCTATTCGATCAGTCATGGCTATTTGATCAGTTATGGCTATTTAATCAGTCCATGCTATTTGACAGTTATGGCTATTTGATCAGTCATGGCTATTTACAGTCATGGCTATTTGATCAGTTTGCTATTTGATCAGTTCATGGCTATTTGATCAGTTATGGTATTTGATCAGTCATGGCTTATTTGATCAGTTATGGCTATTTCATCAGTCGATGGCTATTGACATCATGGCTATTTGTTCATGCATGCTATTTGATCAGTCATGGCTATTTGATCAGTCATGGCTATTGATCAGTCATGGCTATTTGATCAGATCAGTTGCCATTCGATCAGTCATGGCTATTGATCAGTTATGGCCTATTTGATCAGTCATGGCATTCGATCATCATGGCTATTTGATCAGTCATGGCTATTTGATCAGTTACTGGCTATTTGATCAGTCATTGCTATTTGATCAGTATATGGCTATTTGATCAGATCATGTAAAGGACATATTGATCAGTCATTGCGCTATTTGATCAGTTCTATGTCCTATTTGACTTCAGTCTATGGCTATTTCATCAGTCATTGAGTATTCGATCAGTCATGGCTATTTGATCAGTTATGGCTATTTGATCAGTCATGGCGCTATTTGATCAGTCATGGCTATTTGATCAGTCATGGCTATTTGATCAGTGCATTGCCATTTCGATCAGTTACTGCTATTGATCAGTCATGCTATTTGATCATCATGGCATTTGATCAGTTCATTGATCTATTATTGATCAGTCATGGCTATTTGATCAGTTATGGCTATTTTTCGATCAGTCATGGCTATTTGAATCAGTGCATGGTTTGTTGAAATATGACATCATGGCTGATCAGTCATGGCTATTTGATCAGTCATTGCCATTTCGTTTGAACAACCGTGTTTGAGATTATTTCGCACTTACGCTTGTAACCCAATATTCCGCTTGGGCTTCAGCTAATACCGAATAAGTTAAAACAGGTAACCAATTACCGATTATTTCGACCTTCGCGGATAGCCCTAGGTCTCAGTAAACATCAGACAGGTAGGATGTTTTGAGCTGTCTCTTTAAAAAGTGATATATGGTTTTGAAAGTGCCTAGCTGCCTGAATGCCTGATGCCGTCTATTGCATGCCAATTTTCATTTTCAAATTTTCATTAGGCTGGGAGTTTTGGTATTTCTTGAAATCTAACCACTGTATTGCGCTATGTGTGTTTTGGTCTCAGAGATTGAAGTATTTAACGCAAAGACCTTTCGTACCAAGTGAATGAAACTGTTAAATTGGCTTACGGTTTTGATTTTCCCGATCCCATTCCCCGATTCCCGTCCCCGATTCTGATTCCCCGATTTCCTGATTCCTCAGATTCCAACACTTTTGTATTGTGTATGGAGCAACGGACATGGCTTGCATCAGAAAAGACATAAATTGAATAGACGAGGTCTTTTTCCTTCGAATTAGGAACTTACAATGAAC